GCACAGACTGCTCACAACTGCTCAGCACTTTGACAAAAAATATGCTTTGCAATGATGAACAAGAAAAGGTGAACAAGAAGTGATGGTAGGTAAATAAATGTGGTGTGTCTGAGGTGCAGGAAAATATATTTAGTTGTGGGGGATGGTTTGGTTTTTTCCCCTGGAATTAATCCTCCCCAAAGATGTCATATCTGATTTGTTCCCATTTCCCTTGTTTCAGCCATGCAGCTGATATGGTATCAATCAGTGTGCTGCACCTCAAAACCACTTTCTTGTCTCCCTCCCCTCTTCCATGCTTCCTCCTTTTCCCATGCACAAACACCACAACGCACACTCCTGTGTTTGTACCTCTGGCTTATTTCATTTATGTCTTACACAGTTTATTATCAGTTCCATTGGTGAAGCTCCAGTGTGCTTTAATGCCTCTGGGTGTGGGGATGCACACATCACCTCTGCATGAGTGATCCCTTGGGATAAGCTGTCTGCAGCTGAGCCTGGAACTTCTTCAGTGCTTTTTACATTTAAAAAGCTACATCAAGAGAGCAGCCTTGCATAGCAAAATGCTGCAGTAAAGCACATACATGAAAAGATGTGAAAATTCCGTTTATTTGTAACTACTTGCTCTCTTTGAGGTCTCAGTGCAGATGGAAGAGATTGGCTGGGATTCAGTGCTGACATCTTATAGCAATGGAATACAAAAACCTGCTATGTATGCCCAGAATCACACCACATCAAAACAAAATCATGGGGACAAGCAAGCTGCTTTGTGAGCAGCATAGTAAATGCAGCTTGGCTCAGCTTTGTGCTATATAAGCTCCAAGGCTTCACTGCCCACTACCTTCCCCATATTTTCAATTTTTCACCTCCCAGAAGACCATTCGCGTAGCTTTGTCCTTCCCCCCCAAAAAAAAACCAACAAAACCACCTTCAAAATACTTATTTTTTTAACTAGTCCCAGTGGAACAGGCAAGAGGTGACACAAAGTACATGTGCCTGCTCACAGCTGCTGCTGCCCATGGGCTGGCTGACCAGCATGTGGGGCACTGTTAGCTTTCCCTTCTGTAAGGACTCTGCATTGGCACATTTTTCTACTCTGGTGCCACCAGTGCTCATGGACCAGGTAGGAATTTCATGTCTTTGACACCTTTATCTCCAGTCATATCAGAAGTGATCGGAGGGGTCTCCAAAATTCCAAGGGGGTCTTCACTCCTCTAACTTGTTCTCTCAGCAAAGGTGACTTGAAGAACTTTTCCACGGCTCTGGTAGTGAATATAGTCACAATAAGGTAGAAAAGAATTGTGTAAGAATCATGTGGGAAATACACAAGTGAGCATCCACAGTGGATTTTTACTTACAAGCACACCTTCAGGCTGATGGAGAATGGTGCTCACCTTGCCTTTTCAGAGCTTCCAGATGTGCAGCAGGACAGCCTCTTGGAAGATCTGGGTGCAGCTGCAGTCTTGCCATTTTGCTGCTCCCCATTTGCCTAGAACAAATTTTTTTCTACCCTGTAGCCATCTCTCTGTATTCTGAGGGTTACTAGTGAGAAGCACCTGTCAAAGTTACATTTGTTTGACTATTTTGGGAGGCTTACCAAAATAGATCAAAAAGACCTTACTCAGCTACTGCACATACCTCAGCTTTCTTCAGCAGGGCTCTCCTGGTGGTACCTCTTCAGAGTCTCTCTTCAAAATGTTTTGGATCTTGTTTTGCCTCCTGCCTAAGTATGCTGGAGACAAATGTTTTCAAAGATGCTCTGTGTGTATGTGTGGACATTCCCTGCTCATTTATTCCAGCGAGATAAATTCGCCATTATTGCTTTACTGTCTGAATATGACTTTTCTATAGTGCCTTCTGGTTTTCTTTGGCCACATTATTGACTCTGGGTAATAGAACATGAAAGGATTGTGAATGGGCTTTTACAAACAAATCAGCTAAATAGCCATTAGAGGATTAACAGCAATACCATGGCCGGGATAACGCATCTTTTAAATGCTGATAATATCAAGAAGCAAATGGATTTGTAATTTAATGGCAGTAGAGAGAAGACTTCAGATGTCTGTTTTTTTCCAGATTTGATAGAAAGATTAAAGTGTCTGCTTTTGGTGTGCAGGAGTTGGATAAAGCTGTAGTATGGTTACCTACAGATAGCAGCATTCACCTTTCTTGTAAATAGTAGTTGTCCCATGTGGAGAGAATTCCTCTGGTCAACACTTTTATTGAAACTTTAATTCTCATGGTGACAAGTTGGATTGTTGTCTGCTTTAAAAGTCTGACAATGATACACTTTAAAAGCTTTGATAAAAACCCTTTGTCTACACAGAAACAGCTTAACAAAGCTTTTGAAATGTGGCATTCACTTTAAACCTTTGCTGATGCCTGGACAAAAGCACCAATCCATATTTAGGAAATCTTATTTTCTACTTGCTTGTGCTAAAATTGTGCAAGAGGTCTGTGGGAAACTGTGGGAAATAAAAACGTACTACTTTCCTCAAGAGAGGGCTTCAATCTGTGACAGATTTTTCCCACAGAAAGAATTTTCATCCAGAAATTAATTTTTTTGAATTAAAATGAAATTAAAATACATGTGGCATTCTGGTTTTTGCATCTTCAGCATTAAGGTTGGATTGGGAGGTATTTTAAGGACATCTCCAGAGCTGTTAAAGATGTATAGTCTATAAAAACGTAGCTAGACAGCCTAAAGCAGTGATGGCCAAGCACAGGTCCAAGGTGGGATAATTTCCACTCTATTAGATGGGAGCACTGAGAAACATTCCACCTGAGGGATGAAAAGGGGCAGACTAGTCCCCTTCTCCAGCCAGCTGCTCATGGAGAAGGTGGCACAGTGCACCATCTCTCTCAAGTTTGGGAATCAAGGATTGAGGCTCCTGGATATTTATCTGTGGGGGTCAGACCTCTGTGATAGCAATCTGACCTAAAAATTAACCCATGGCCTTGTATGACATGTCCTGCCCAGGAAGTAATGGTCACTGGCAATTTTATTTTTAATGGTTTGGTTTGATTTGCCTATTTATTGTCATTATATCATGAAGATGCTTTTAATTTTCAGAGTGTTTTCAAATGAAATATGTTTCACAGAATTGGCCTTTGGTACTTTGAGGGAGTTATGTTTTTCATAGATAACAAAAATTTAATCTCTGCTTTGAGGGAGAGTTACAGTTCAGTTTTATTCACAGAATTGCCAGCATCAATACCACATTTCCAGAAATCTCAAAACTGAGTCAAAGGAAGAGACAGGTTGAATTTCTTGACAAAGGAGAGAAAGAAAAGCCAAGAAACAATGGAAGCCAATCAGACATTTGAACCTCTACCTTGCTGTCCTCTTCTTTCTTGGGTAAGAGATACAAACACTGCAAAGCCAGAAATGAGTGCATTGGGTCTGGATCTGAACTGTCCGGGTAACTAAACCTCAGTTTTTGAGTCTGGCAAGCAGCCTCTGCAAAAATAACAGCCCTCAGAGAAACAAAATAGTCATTGGAAAATGGAGCTGGCTCCCATGTAAAGGGTAAAGAACAGCACCTGTGACTGCCATGGACACAGGAGCTAAAAGTGTAGAAATGTTGAGAATAGTCTTTTAGAAAGCAGTATTTTTACACCAAATATTTTTTATAAGATGCTCAAAACACAAGCCTGCTCCTTATCTAAATTTTAAAATCTAGATTAAAAATTTAGTTTTATAGGTGGCAGTTTGTATTTACT